GAAAAGACATTCTAAATCAGTATTGCATATTACTCAAATATTCATTACTGAACTACATGGCCATAAATCAGCAGCCAGATGATGCCAGTTGAATATTGGGAAGATTAGCACTGCTATAAAGACAGAACTGCATACACCACAGGTCATCTCAGAATTAGTCACTTGTATCATAGATAGAAGAAACACAAGGTATAGAACTGGAAAACCGTAAACTTAATTCTGCCACAAATTACTGTTTCAAAGAATCGCTTAATATTTTATCAATACAATAAGAAGGAATAACATTGTTTACCTCATGTCACATGTAAAAATAAACAAACAAACAAAACCAAAAACAATCCCCAAATAAAAATAGTCTGGGCTTTAAGAATGTCTATAAAATAGACTTAATAAATGCTTATAACTGTTCAAATAGCTGAGGCAGCTATATTCATGATTTTTATATTAAAGATTATTGCTAAAAAGGGGGAAAGTTAATTATTCAGCTATTTCCCCAAATCTAGATATTTTACAAAATTTAAGGGGAAATTCAGACTATTAATTTGATAGGATTTCCAAACAGATGCTCTCTAGCTCTGCCTCATTGAGATCTCCTTTTCACATGCATAACATCCCAACATTCCAAAAGTAAATTCCTAAACTTTCCCCACAGACATCCCTCCACAGTCTTCCCCTTGTCACAAATGACAGCATAATCCATTCAATTGTTCATTTAGAAAATGGCCTTACCGTTGACACATACCAAATCTAGGTAATCAATAAGTAGCATCAACTAAATCTCCAAAATATAGCTTGGATCCATCCACCTTTCTCTACCTTCTTCATTCAAGTAACCCCTAAATGATTTCTGCTCCCATTCTTGCCCCTTTTAATGCATTTTCTTCACAGTGGCTGAATGATCTTCTAATAATGATAAATTTGATCATGTCACTCTCTTGCTGAAAATTTTGCTATATACTTCTCATTTCACTTGAAATAAGAACACAAATTTTTAAATATGGTCCAAAAATCTATACGTGATCTGGCCTCTGCTTCCTTTGACAAAATCATTCCATGTCATTCATTATTCTATAATTAAATTTCCCTTACAATTGACTTCTTTTAGTTCCTAGGTGGTTATCACAATTTTCCCTGTGCTAGGGCTTTCATGCACACATGCTTCGACTTCCATCTGGATGTTCTTCTCCACTCTTTATCTGGCTAACTTCTATTTTTATTTATATTTCATGGTTTCACTTAAGTGGAACTTCCTCAGAGACGTCTCCTTTGACCCACTATTTAATCGGCACCTCCTTATAACCTTTTTCTGTTCATTCATATTACCTTTCCCAATTTATATTATAGGCGTTTTCTCCATCAGAGTGTAATTTCCTTGAGCAAGAACTATTTACATTTTCTTTGTGAATCCCCATTGTCTGGCTTTGTGCCAAGTCCATAATAAATATTTACTAAATATTTGCTGAATCATTGAAGGACCAAATTAATGAGCGCATCAGGTTGGCTCTGTATCATACACACACACCCGAGGCTGGTTACCTTAGTTAACTAGTGTTGATGCTTATTATAGTGGCCACACACTCAACAAAGGGCAGATAAGGACCTGTGGGCACAAGTTAAATTTTAAATTCTCTGGAGCAGTTTGGCTCTCTTGGTTGAGGTGAACCGCATCTTCCTTTTTGCCTGATTGGAATCACAGTTCAAGCTCCATCACAGAGCTGATTTAATTCTGCCTTGCGTTAAAGTTAGTTGACTGCATGTCTCTTTCTCCCATTGGTACTTCCTGATTCTCCTGTCAGAGTCACACCTGGTTCATTTTCATCCTCCACAACGTGTAAGAGTTTCCATAGAATGAGTTAAGCATTGGTAAATATTTCTTTCAAATATATCATCATTGAAAATAAAGAATTATAAGGTGCTAAGTGAAGTTAAGATTGCCAGGTATCATCAGATTTGGTAGCGAATCCAATTTTAATGATTCAATTCACTCTCATTCAGAACTTCTGCATTCAAGAGGCGTTAAGAATTTAAACAACAACTTAAAAAGTTTCTTTCCCAGTAAATCAACAAACTTTATATAGAGAATCAAACCCCCATCAGTGACTTTTGTATGGCAACAGTGTGAAACAGCTTAATTGGCCCAGCGGAATCCCAGCAGAACAAACAGGCCCACCATACCTCTCTACAGGGATTTGGCAGGAGCCTGCTTCCAGGGAGCTAAGTTAGTTCTAACCATGTCCTTGTTCTCCTTGCAGCAGACCAGGCCCAGCTGTAACCCCGTTGCCCCTACGCGTGCACTTTTATTGGGTTATTGCCTGGTATTACTGGGTATTACTGTTCATCTGTCCCCACTTCCATGTCCCAGGGCAGTTCCTGCTCCACTCCAGGATCAAAGGAGAAAACAGTTCAGAGCCAAATAAACCAGCCAGAGGGGGCCCCGGTATCAAAGGGAAAGATCCAAAAAAAATGTGTTCCTGATAAAATTAAAGAGTTCTCTCTATGGATCCTCTAGAGCAGCGGCTCTCAACCTTCCTAATGCCACAACCCCTTAATACGGTTCCTCATGTTGTGGTGACCCCTAGCCATAAAATTATTTTCATTGCTACTCTATAACTGTCATTTTGCTACTGTTATGAAACATAATGTAAGTATCTTTTTGTTTTCTGATGGTCTTAGGCGACCCCTGTGAAAGGGTTGTTCGACCCCCAAAGGGGTCGCGACCCACAGGTTGAGAACCGCTGCTCTAGGGCCTTTAAGTGCTTGGCTGAGCAGCTGGGGGATCACCAAGTGACTCAGCTAGCAGGAGACCTACTAATGAATGGTGATGCTTTGCTTAGTGCTTAAACCTAGTATTTGCCTTAGGACTGTACTGAGTAATTCCTGGTAATTGAACTGTAGAAAGATCTACACATTATTTATGTTATTTATATATAGAATATCTTTTTAATAGAAATAGTGTGATGCTCATTTTATATAGCTTTAAAGCACCTTGCAAATATAATTTTAGTAAACATGTAGGCTAGAAAGTCCTTTCTTTCCCACCACCAGACACTTTGGTACAGAAATGCCATACTTATTTTTTTCCAGATTTAATTTTGTGATTTTAGTGCATTTGAATTTAGCCCATGATGAATCTCTGAGTATTTTCATTACAGTGCCAAACAATTGTTACAGAGGCTAAAATCATATGTAGCAAAGAGTACCACAAATAACATGCATATATAGCTAATATTTTTCGGACAGTCAATTTGTGCCAGCCACTATTCTAAACACTTTATGTGAATTGACTCATCCAACCCCCACAGCATCTCTCGGGGCAAGTGCTATCATTATTCACATTTTGTAGGTGAGAAAATGAAGGCTCAGTGACTTTAAGCAATACACCCAATGTCAAAGAGCCAGTGCAGTGAGCTGCAGAATGTGAAAAATGATATAAATGGAGGCATTTCAAAATACAGTCAGAGCCACCATCCCAGAGGAATTGCCTTGCATGTCTTTCTCCTCAAACCTTTGGCAAAATAACCTGTGGACTTGGCCAAACCAACACTGTACTGCAAACAACAGTTTGTAAAGCTAATAGGAAAGCAGACATCCTGACTATGAGGACTGCAAATTAAGGACATTCTTTAGAATTAGCACCACCATGTATAGCTAGGAAATAGCTTAGCTTACTTGTACTACAGAAAACCCTTTCTTGGCTAATTAGCACCAATAGAAATTCCTTCCTTCTATTCATGTAATTACTTCCCCTCCCTTTCTCATAAACCCCTTGACTTCCCCACATAATTGGAACACTATTTGGGTTTCTGTCTGAATCAGTGCTTCCCGGAAGTGCAATTCTTTTTGATCTCAAATAAACACTTGCAGCCTCTCATTTTGCCTTTTTATTTTTAGGTTAATAAGAGCTCGGGTTCAAGCCTAGCATTTGGCTCTGGAGTCTGCACTTTCAACCAGCAAGCTCTGCGGCTCACCACGTGCCAGATTTTAGTTAACTGCTTAATTCTCATAAAGCCCCTAGGATAGATGCTACCAATATGATTCCCATTTAATAAGGAGGGGATTGGTCTGACCAACGTCACTCTGCTAGTAAGTGGCAAAATCAGGCTTTTAAATCCAGTCCTGCCTGACTCTTCTATCTGATATCTTAAATACCACCCACTACTGCCTCCCAGAGAAGGTTGTGTGCTTGTTATTTTTAATCACATATAGCATTCGAGATTAAACAGATTTTTAAAGGAAAGAGAAATTATTTCCTAAAAGAGTATAGTAACTATCCACTCATAATCTTCTAAAATATTTAAAATGCATAGACCAGTAATTATATTTTTTTAAAATATGTGAAATGCTAATATTAAATGTCATCATTCTGAAGAGTAGAGCTGACAGGACTATTCTTAAAAATTAATATGATTGTTCATCTCACTGTTTATGTGATTCCCTGAAGAGGTAATTACCTCTCAAGAGAGGTAATTTTTGTGAATATTTCAAAAAAATAAATTTTAACTTATTTTGACTATTGCAAGTATAAAATGTAATTTAGTACTGATTATGACTTAAAATATTACAAAATCAAAACAAATCACGACAGTGTTTTAAAAATATGATGACTGTTATCTCAGGATGCTTTAGTTATTATCAATAGTATTTTTTCCAAATGAAGGGGTAACCATTTATACCCGAAAAATTAGAAAGTATTAATATGCTGGTCAAGCCATGATAATCCAGTAAGATGTAAAATTCATAGAAAAAATATAAATGGTTGTTGTTATTATTGTTTATAAGGACATTCCTATATAAATCTATCTTTTCCTTCTCTGAGCCCATACTAGAGTTTTGGTTTCTTTTACCCTCTGTAATAACCACTACCGCAGGATTTCAGATCTCTTGGTAGACACTCAATGTTGGAGGGTAAATGAAAAGAGTACATAGTAGGTTATGGCATAAACTTTAGCCAAATGGTTTGTCTCTGGTGTCCTATTGTCAATCATTTAAGGTTTTATTACCTTTAGGCCCTTTGAACAGTTTGATTTCCACAACAGTCTCCAAAATGGGTCGTCTTCTCCGCACGTACAGCCGAACGATCGACCCCGCCTCTTTGAGGGCTTCCACTGCTTTACTGTGGGAAACCTCAGACACATCGACCTCATTCACCCGCAAGATACAATCATTGACCCTGAAAGGGAGGAAAAGGTGCAAAGGTCAGAAGAGACTAGGAGGATTTCTGAAAGAATATTATTATGTCATCTAACTTTCAGAAGTGGGGGAGCAAAGAATACAAGCGATTTTAAACTGCTTACATTTGGAAAGATTTCAAATGAAGGAAATTAAAAAAAAATAAAATAAAAATCTTCAACTCCTCAGCTTCCCCAGGCTTCCCTACACTGACTACTAGTCAAGTCCCATCCTGAACTCCAGTCCACTCTGACTCGGATTGCATCACGAGTGATGATGTTAGAAGGATACATATTTTAAGGTATCAGCCAGTTACATCATCATTTTGATTGGTTTTAATTGGTTGGACTGAGGGTTGTGGTTTGAGTGGTTCTCAGAACTTACTACTATGGATTATACAGACATATCAAACAGAACTTTATAGATTAATTTTTTTTGAATTCTTAATCTACTAATTATAAAAATAATATGTAATCATTTTAGAAAATCTGAAAAATATAACAAAGAAGAAGAAAAAATATACATGACTCCGTCACCTTAAATAAACCTTAGTTTTCTAGCAAATTATCTTCTAGTGTTTTTTTGTTTGTTTTCTCAGATTCATTTCACAATATTACATGTATTAGAGTTCAGGTTTCACAAAATGAAACAAAACAAAACAAAACTTCAGATAATAATCCTTGCCCAAGGCACTTGCCTTGATACTAAGAATTATGGTAAGTTCTACATTAACTTTCATTTGTGCCATTTTCTCATGAGAAAGAATAATTTGACTTTTCCATAAAGTTTTTCAGGGTAGTTCATAGTTATGTGGCCATGGACTTCAAATCCCTTTTAATATTCATGATAATAATTAGTGGTAATATTAGTAATGATTAAGAGTATGGGTCTTGAGACTAAAAATATTTTTTCCCTCACTGTGCATATCCCTTTCAGGACTTCCTGTCTCATTTCACTGTGTTGCTCAGAATAAAAACTAAGGGGCTACTTGTGCTTGACGCCTCTTCCCCACCACCACACATTCAGCTCTACCCACAAAGCATATCTGCAATCCATCCAAGTTTCCTCATTTCCACTGCTAGCATCCTGGCTAGAATCAACATCGCCTCTCATCTGAATTATATCCACAGCCTCCCACCTACACAGCCTGGATCCTCTCTTGTCACCTTTCAATCCAGTCTCCACACAGGGGCCAGGGTAAAGTGAACATGGTTGGTTGCTTATCTAACCTTCCATTCCCAGACCTTCTTCCACACCGTGCCCTGTTTTATTCAGGAGATCTAGTCCTCAGCAAGTATTTGTTAAATGAATGGAAGAATAATAAGCTTAAATTCAATAACTGGGTCTTCCACTTCCTAAATTCATAAACACTGGCAGTTTTCTTCATCTCGCTAAACCTCCATATTCTCATCTGTAAAATAGACATTATAGTAATACCTACTATAAAGACTTTTGGGGAAGATTAAATGAGATAATGTACATATAAGTTCTTAGCACTGACCCTGGTGTATAATAAACACCCAATAAGTGATTGTTATTCATAGCAGTGCAAATTTGTTGATCTGTAATATTCTGAACTAGTGGATTCTTTCCATAATCTTGGAGAATAAGATTTATTATCCACGTTATAGAAATAAGAGGAGTTCCAAGTGGTTAAGTTCTTTGTATAAATTGGGTAGAGATTAGATAATGATCTCAGGTCTTCCTATTTCAAAATTTGGGCTCTTTCCTCTTAGGACAACATACAGTAAGTCCTCAATGTCGTCATTAAGTTCTGTGACTTTAAGGGAAATGACATATAACAAAATGAGTTTTACCTTAGGCTAATTAATATAAACAAAAGTTAAGTTCCAATGGCATCTCATCAACACTGTATTGACATTAAATGAAACAATGTTATTTGAGGACCTGCTATACAATCTAATGTGATGAACAGTTTTGTGTGAATTGTGCACATCTGTTCAAAATTGTAACATGGTAATAGAGACATTATACAGAAAGTATGGAAAGAATTTCCTATCATTTTTGTCTATTAACTTTTCTATAATACCTGTTTGAGGATTTGAGTTAGAGGAACACTTATCTCAATGAGATCCCTTATTAGCTTCAAAATCCTGAAATGGAACATTTAACTTACTAAGGTTTAGTGATGTCATTTCATTATAACAGATGCTGTAGCTTTAATAGGTTTACACATACATTTCCTCTCTGATTGACCAAAAAAAAAAAAATCACAGAAAACTACCAATTAAAATAGTTTTGAGAATGTAGGCATCACGGGTGCCAGCCTCCCGCAGCAGCTGGTCCTTTGAGAGTGGGTAATTTTGTCATCTCATGATAATGCAAAAACATAATGTTTACCATCACCCTATGCTCAGAATATTAACCATATCTTAAAACACTGCTGGCTGTAAAAGGGAGTGGATGACATTAAAAAAAAAATTCTGAATGCTGTATCTCTTCAAACTAGAGTACATTTTTTTCCTTTTGTATACAGTGGAAACCTTAATTGTCGACTGCTGCAGTGAGGAAATCACAGCCTAAATCAGATGGTTTTTCCTGAATGCATGGATGAAGTAGGCAGCGTTAGTGCACTGGAAAGAGCATTGGACTAACAGTCAGAAGATTGGGATTTGAGTCCCAGCTGTGTATCAGCTGTGTGACCATAGTAAAGTCACTCCATCTCTTTAAATTTCAGTTTCCCATGGAAAGAGAGCAGGCATACCCAGAGTTAGTGAGAGGAGTAACCAGATAGATAATGTATATGGATGTATGTGTAAACTGTCACACGCTGCCCATCTGAGAGTTATAGCTATTGACAGGTGAGTCAATGATGCTGTGAACAAGTTTTTTGTTATAACAAAAACTCAGACACAACGGTTTAGTGGTTACCAGAGGGTCGAGGGGAGGAGGGTGGAAGAATAGGGTAAAGTGGGCCAAATATACGGTGATGACATTGAGTTGTGAATACACAATGCAATATATAGAAGATGTATTATAGAACTGTACACTTGAAACCTATATAATCTTACCAACCAATGTCATCCCAATAAATTTAATATAAATTAAAAAAAATGAGTAGCAAGACAAAACTAAAAGGATTTGTTGAAAGGTGAACAGAGTGGAAATTGAAATATTTAGAGTGCCTACTATGTGCTATACCATTTTAGTCACTTCACTTATTCTCTTGTACTTAAATCAGATCAAATATGAAACAATAATTCTCATTTCGCAGACAATGAAATTTTATAGACAAGGTCACAATGTTGGTGAGGGCATGGACATGATTCCTACCTGGGCTTGTCTTTTTCTGGAGCCTATCCTGGCACTAAGTTACTCAGAATTAATTGTTTTAAATAAAAAAAAAAATGGGAGTGTGAGGGGAGCAGTTTATATTCAAATTCTTAAAATAAGAAGGGAAGACTAGCAAGCCAACCTAGGGCACTCAACTTCGATTCCTCCCAGTTACCTGAAATAGCACTTCAGCATTGGTTAGAGGGTCATAGCTATTAACAATTAATTTGATTTCTCTACCAGAAGATAAGCTTTGTGAGTAAAGTCAGCACTTAATATTCATTTTGAAACATATAAATACGTTACTAGCTCCAAACTCAAATAATACTTTGTTCCAGTAAAAGGTGCAGCCTTTATCATATTTCTGAGCCATTGTATTAGAAAGCCATTTACATAAAAATTTCCTCTCTAGTCTACCCAAGCAGTTAAGTTGATAGTTTCACTTGTTCAGCATTTGCTCTTTTAGATATAAGTTTACAATATTTTTTTTGTGGACTAAAATTGTCCACAAGATTAAGAGATTAAATTTAATCTTTTCCTAGTCTCATTTCCTTTGGCCATTCTGGTACATTTCCATGCAGGAAATATTTTAGAAACAAAAAGGACATTTCATCATCATCATGTTCATGGAATCACATCTAAATGTTGCACTAAACAATTTAGTGTTCTGGAACATGATATAGTATCACTGAAAGGTCAAATACTACTTAACAAATTATTTGTTCCATTTTGAAGATATCATTTAAAATAACATTTAATATTTACTTTGATAGGTATTAAAGTGTTCTGTTGTAAAATAAGATTTGTGATTTTATACATTTTTAAGGATATTAATTCATTAAAAAATAATCACCAGATGCTTGTGTTAAATTTTAAAAATTCCTGTTCATTATGCATTAAAAAATATTGGAAGGAAAAGTAAAATTTCAGCTCTGGTTCCTTGTGGATGTAGAGATTATGGCTATTTTTAAAAACATATTTCTACTTTTGTGTTTCTTCCAGAAGTTTCATATGGGCATATATCACAGCAGAGAACCTAAGAACATGGGCCTAGGAGCTTTGATCACACTGAGTTACAATCGGGATGTTGTCCCAGCTCAACTTAGAAGCTCTGTGACTTGAGGCAACTCACTTGGCATCTCAAAGCTTCAGTTTCTTCATATGAAACTAGGGATAACAAGATTGCTGTATAAATAAAATCAAATAATACATGTGAAACACTTAGCACAGTGCCTGACCAACAGTAAAGTATTATAGTCTTGAAAAAGAGACAAGAACATTTGCAGAAGAAAGGAGTTGAAAAGACTATAGTGGAGGGGGAAAAAAAAAAGAAGCTAAAGAGAGAGAGAGAGAAAGAGCTATAACCAAGATACTGAAAGAATTTTTGAAATTTTGTATGAGAAAGGGCGGGAGAGATGTAATGGATGGGATTTGGGGGAAGAAAAATGTAAATATAAGGCTTTCAGTGAGTTTAAGGAGTATAACTTAATTTCCCTTTCATCTTCCTCCTCCCCTATCACCAAGAAAACAGTCAGTTATTCTGATACAAACTACAACTTTCTGGAAGCCTTGGCGAAAGCTTCTAAAGATCAGCACACTTGGCAGAATTCCCACCCACTCATGGTTACTCTGTCCTGGCCCCTCGCTGCCCATCTAACCACACCCAACCACACCTAGACCCCTCAAGGCTTGATTCAAAAGGTTTTA